AGATAACACAAGACAAAAATAACAATAAAAAAAATGGGAATGAAGGGTGGGAGAAAAAAAAAGAGGAGAATGCAAAAAGCAGGGAGTAAAATAAAAAGAAAAACAATGTCAAATACAGGAATCTTACAAATTAACCATTATACCATTAAAGGTTAAAAAAAGTAAAAAATGAGGTGTCAACATTTTAGTAGAGCAACAGAAGAGACAGCTGTAGACTGCTAACCTTGGACGAACAGACTTAAATGGTTTTAGAACACTACAGACAACGTTGTTAGTGGAAAACATGTGTCTAGCATACTGATTTTTTTGGGGTCTTTTTTTTGGGTAAGACGCCAGTAAACATTATGGCCCTGCTATTTTAATGCACATCCATTGAGACAGGGGGTCCAGCTCTGTCATGTCACTACTAAAAGAAGTTTGTAAGCAATGTCCTCTGGAAATCAAAAGTAAGCTTTAGTTTTGGAAAAAAAATAGTATACAACAGAGAAAGACACTTACACCTTGTTTCATACAGATTAACCTGCTCCTAAAGTGAAATAAAATCAAGGCATCATGCACAAATTACTAGAAGTCCATAACTAAATGGAGTACCTTCATAGTTCAGTAATTCTCCATTCTTAGTCTATTTGCTGTGATAAACAGTGTAATATGTATAAAGAACAGTAAAATTAAAAGCCAATAAAACCCCATCAGTTCTCCGCCATGACTGATAAGGCAGCAAACTGGCAAAACACAGCGGTGACTGGTGCTAGGTGTTACTGTCACATGGAGCACCCAACACCAGATGGCTGCAGTGGGACTTACACAGCCTGTGGAAATAACCAGCTCTGAGAGCACTGGCGTCCCACATTCGTCTCCTCAAACTGCTGAAATCCAGCTAAGATAAAGATACAGGAAGCTGCCAGAGCAGCATCTTAAAACAGGTTTATTTTGGATGCGGGGGAAGATGAAGCATTTAAAAAACCAGGATGGATCTGCTTATTACATTGCTGCCCCAAAATAGAAATATTACTAATAATCAAGGTTGAACACCGCAGTGTAACTGCAAGAAAGCAGAACTGCTGAAAGCCTTCAGTTATATAATTTATTGCCTGTGACTACACTGCAGGTCCAGAGAGGACTTTGAGAGTACGAGAGCCTCATATGGCTTGTAACTAAGGAAGGGCTTGAGAAGCAGCAGTTGAAGTCTCAGCGTCGTCCTTCCACAGCCAGCTGCAGCTGAGATACTCGGAAAGTGCTTCAGAAGAAGCCGGATCTTAGCCGAGACCAGAGCGACTGACTCAATCTGTCTGTGCACACTTATTTTGTGAGACAGAGAGCATCTGTAAAGCTGGTGATAGGAACAAACCAACATGACTTCTGTTGTATCTGACAGTAAGGACATGCTAGGTAGTGTTAAAGGAAATAAAATGGGCCAAACATAATTTTTTGTCTGAAAATGGGTACACCATAAGTCACATCCCTTGGACTAAATAAATCTCCTGTCCATGCACAGGGCTGAACCACCCCTGGTCTGTGCAAACCTCTACAACATGCCAGGCTTTTATTCTCTGGGAAAAAACCTGTAGGTCACAACTGCACGGAGGACCACCCCAACAAGTCAGCCACAGGGATGACCACGTGCCAGCACTCAGCCTGGACCTAATTTTGACTGAAGTCAAAGGCCAAGCTGCATGCTCTCCCCTGCTTCCCTCCCCAGAGTTAAAAACCAGGAACAAGGCAATCAGCAGTCCTAAGAATTTAAAATGTTGTTTTGAATTTTGTTTTGTTTTGCTGTCTAAGGATGTGGCCTCATTGTTTACTCTGAGTCTAATTCTGCTCCAGTGATGCTCAGAAATGTAATTTTTGAAGACCACTTAACAGTCTTACATAGGCAAGCACAGCAGCTGGAGCTGTGAAAAGAACTGCATGGCATGACTCATGGTGAAGGTGGCAAAACACAGCATCTGAGGGAGCTGTCCCGGGGCTCTGCGACACTGCCAAGTGTGAATCATACCTCTGATAAAGTGCACTCTTCTCAGAGCTATCCCTCGTTACTTTTAATAAGGAAGATCCTCAGAAAGTGTGATCTACCACTAAGTAAAAAGAAACATTAACTTTAAGCCCTAAATTTACTAGCAAAGTTCCCTTTGCTAGACAGTGAGGGAAGGATTCCTTTCATGTAACTTCAGCCATTAAAGAAGAAAATGTGCAGTATAAGGTAGGAAGCATCTCGTGATGGTGATGAATCCTATCCCAAGAGGGGCACCTGAGATAGGCTGAATGAAGCTCTCTTGAATTATTTCTTTGATACTACTGACTATAGATGGATATTGGGTAACTCACCCTTGCCATCTCAGTTAGAGGTGACATAAAAGAAGCAAGAGCACCCTGCTCTCCTGCCCTAGCTTAGGAAGATTTGTTAGTACATTTTCAGGGTTAACTAAGGAAAATGAACAACTTCCAGAAGTTTTTCCTCACTTGAAATTGAGTAGCAGGTTGAATAAAATGAAAATATTTCTTTCCAGTGTTTAAATGGAAATCAGCTAAAATCCTAGAGAACCATCTGTGCTGTTTTAAGAAACAGGCTACTTTTCATATCTATTTTTCTCTCTCTCGAGAATGCTAAGATGCTACTTAATGAGAATTAAAATATGCTAGATGCAATCTTTTCATCTCAGAAATCCCTGGACCATTATCTGTGACTGTACAGCAATAAAAGGTCAGATACTAATGCTGTTATAAATGCCTAAAGATGGAGAGAATTATTTATTTTCAAAAGTGCACCTCTAAGAAGCTAGTCTAATATTACTACATCAAAAGAAACATAGTACATTTGCTCGAAATTTGGAAGGAAATGAATACAAATGACAACGCATAAGTCTGCCAGTGATCTTAATCCTCAAATTAAGATCATCTGGTAGACTAAGGCTCTTTTGTACCAAAAGGGATTACCACAATGATTTCCTTTTTAAAGTAATCTCTAATAAAAGGTCAAATTCTGCTATGAAGTTTTTATAATCACACACATACGTGTACATACATACACCCCCCCTCTTCTTTTTGGAGAGGGTAACAAGACTAAAGGCTTTTTGGAAAAATCAGGATACTTTCCTGTTGAAACACTTGAGTCTTAAATTTGTCCAAGACAATGGAAATAAAGTGAAGGTATCAAGGCTGCATTAGAGGCAGCCCATAGAGAAGAAAGCCTGGATAGGATTTTTGCTGGTAAGAGTGAATAGCTGAATAGTGAGGTATGTTTAGAAAGGTGATTAGTAGATATGTATTTTAGAAAGACCATAGAATAGGCTGGATCCCAGTTAGCCCTGTGGAAGATAGTGTTCCAGCAACCACATGATGATCCCATGGATGACACAACTTGGAAGAATAAAAACACAGGCAGATGCTATCGACTCAAACATCTTTAGAGGTATTTTGATGCAGTGTGAAAAATCCAGAAACCATGGCCCATTTCTGGAAGATATTTGAGACAATGCTAATTTCAGGAACATTGTTGATCAAGGATTAAAATTCATTCTGTTCCTCAGTCCAGCAAACAGAATAGTCTACAAGCTATTCTGGACTATCAGTAGCCATAAACTTCCAGACAGTTTGGAAAGAGCGTTCAGTCTAATTCAGTATCCAGTCTTTGGCAGTGTCTACTGCCAGATGCTTCAAAGGACGCAATCCTGTATCTTTATATTCTCTATCAAAATGACATGTTTTGCAGTGATGCTTGTAAGTAACATCTTTAGTAATTTTTCAAACCCCTTTAAAACTTGCCAAACTACCCTCAGCTTAAATGTTTCAAAAACGATTCCATTTGGAACGGCAACATTACCAAATATAGCCTGAAATGGCTTGTCTTCATTCCACACTAGACAGGATGGCTTTTAGTTTGTCCTATGGACTGAGATGCAACATCTTAGTAGAACTCAATGAAAGTTGACTCTTAGCTGTATGATCAGACAGGCAGTTAAACACCTAATTATTACCTAAGTAACACTTCTTCAGAGAGGTAACCACTTTTTCAGTTTGATTCAGTAACTCTTTCAAGAATTTCTGTAAAGAACCATCGAAGAAACAAGGAGTTACTACCACCAAAAGGCAGATACAGAGTCAAGCAAAAATCCAGCCTAACTCCATGCTCATTGGGATTTACAGTTTCTCTGAGGGTACTCGGCTTTCCTGCACATTTGCAGTGGGATGAACCAGACAGCATCCAAGTACCCACCCAGCCACTCGCCCTCTCCCCCCGCCATGGGTCAAGATGAAGACAGTTGAATGAGTGAAGAAAAAAAAGCCCAAGTGATGCAACAGCAATCACTCGCCACCTCTCACAAGCAGAACGATGCCCAGCCAGTCTCTCAGCAATGGCTACTCTGGAAGGCCAAGCCCCCTTTTAATGCTGAGCTTGACATTAAATGGTATGGGATTTGGGACAGCTTTCCTGGCTGTGTCCCCTCCCAATCTCTTGCTCCCCCCTAGCCTACTCACTGGGGGCAGTGGGGTGTTGGTGCAGTAGGCAGAGTGAGAAATGGGGAAAGCCTTCACGCTGTGCTGCACTGCTCAGCAGTACCTAAACCACTGGTGTGCTGTCAACAATGTTTCAGTTACAAATCCAAAACACAGCTCTATATGGATTGCTATGAAAAGTTAACTCCATCCCAGGTAGACCCAGTACAATATTACTTCCAACAAGGCACAGTTGGGCACTGAACCCGGCTTACTGCTGCCTAGTGTCATTCCCTGGTTTTATTATTTGTCCTGAACAAAATGACTTATCTCATAAGTGAAACTGCCATAATGAACAGTCCAGAGATTACTGCAAGCCTGAAATAGAGATTTTCATTTGTGGCAAGCAAACTTCTGCAGCTAATGTGTCCTTGTTATCTACAGCATCCTCCACGTTTGGTCCTTCCATGGACCAGAAGCCAAAGAAGTTCGGTTACTTTTCAGAAGCAACCCCACCACAGCTGCAGGCAGGGGGAGGTGATGGGCCCCATCCAGATCTGCTGGGGAAGTCAGAGCAGTCAGCCATGAAGGTGTGCCATCACTTCCCCCTTTCTCCTCATCTGTAAAAGACATCCCATGGGATGTCTTTGGCAAAAGATAGGGCAGCAAATTAGAAAACTGTTGTTACCAAGTAACCAGCCCAGCTTTTTCTTCTCTCTTTTCCCTTTCTACTTGAGAGAAAGCAGTGTCCTCGCTGTCTGCTGTGTCGCTCCCAGTCCAGGGTTTAAGCTTGGTTGAGTTGCTGACTGGGAAAGCACACCAACCTGCACCTGCTAACTGGCCTAAACTGGTACCACTCAAAATGTGCTGTCTCAGGTGGGAGTGCCTAAGGATTTCCTAGATGTTTTCCAAGCTGTCCTCTCTGCCTTGTCATCACTCAGGACTTGGGATACGGAGAAAGAAATAAAGAGGCCTGTATTTTTGCAAAGATGCATTCAGAAGAAGAGATTTCAGAACTTCAGTCAGTACTATTTGTATGAAAGCCATGACAGAAATACGAGGGAAGATGCTGCTTGAGTTCATAGACAAGATGTATCTTCTAACCTAGAAGTTGTATTTTTGTTTCAAGACCATTTACTAAGTTTTATTAGGGTAAAGGTGTTTTGAAGGATTCAAGTGCTTTTTTTGAGACTACAGGAGATTTTCTTAAACTTTTACTCCTGAAGAATATTTATGGCAGCAATTACAGAACTAAACAAACTAAAGAACTCCACCTCTGGGACTCAGAATGACTTTTAACCCTGCTCAGCTTTGCCTTGCATATGTTTGACAATGTAATTAAAGTCACCTTGGGCTGAAGGGATACTCCTCTGGTAGTCAGAGTGAAAGCAAGTGGTGCTGGAGATGTGGCATACCTCTGATATTCATGTTCTGCTAACATCCAGAACTGCAAGGTCACTTTTAGCCAAAGTCTGATGAAAGCCAAGATTCCTTAGTGATGTTGAACAGGGCAAGAGGCTAAGGCAGGCATAACACACAGACATACTGGTCTGTGTTGAACCCATAGCCTGTATTTGTCTCATTTTTTGCATAATATAAAAAAAATCCTTAAATTTACAATCAGGAAGAGAATAGCAAATGCTGTATTTGCAGTCACACTGAGAAGATCTGTTCTGGCTTCCACATGTACACAGTAACGCATGTTACATGCATGAGAAATCCTTTATCTGTCAGTTGTGAAATGTGGGATGCATCACACAGAGTACAGTCAAGTTCCTCTGGGAAGACAGTGACTTTGAAGAAGTTAATGGTAGGTCACCAAATGGATCTGGAACTTCCCAGCCAGTGCAGCTGCCAACGCAGAAGATGATCCTTGGGATTATTTAAAAAGATTATTAAATCAGAAATCATACTATGCCTCAGTAGGACACCTGTGGTGTTATTACAGGAATAATATCTGAAGTTCTGATACCAGGTTTGGAAGGACAGAAAGAGATCAGCAGTCATAAAAATGAGACACAGATCAGCAAAGCATGTCTTAAGACTCTTCATCTATTTATCAAAGACTAAGATCTGTATTAGAGTCACGATAGAAATGAGATTCTTTATTCTAGATTAGAAAAACGTATTAAAATAAAAAATGGCTGAATCTAGTGCCAGAAAAATTTAAACTAGAAATAAGGCAAAATGAATTAAGATTTGAACATCTTATAAAAAGGCAAGTTAACTTTCATCACTCAAAGTCCTGAAATATAAATTAATATACTGCAGATCAGCCTAAAACTATTTGCTTGGTGTAGTTATTGGGTGAAAACCTAGAGGCTATTCCAAAATTCAGGCCAGGTAGCTACAGTGCTCCATCTGCCTTAAAAATCATGAGTCGATAAAGATTCCTGGAGAATGCAAGTTAAATCCTATACTACCCCTGGGTACTCTCCTCTGATTAGTAGATTAAAACAGAATGAAAGAGATGTAGCAAAATAATTTTCCATTGTAAGCAATAAACTGTGTGCAGAAAATATCTATCTAACAATTAAGTAATGGTTGGAATTATTTTTTAAACAGAAGGAATCCATTTTGTAACTTACTAAAGTAAGCACTTGGAAACTGCTTTTACATTACATGACTAAATACTACTTTTGGAGTACAGAGTACGGGTTCTGTCACTACCATGCGCTTTTCTGAATTACTGTATTCATGGGCAGAATAAATGCTATGATTGCAACATGAGAGAGATGAATAGTTGACAAAGTAACAGAAATCTACTACCTGTATATGCAAGAACATTAAGTACCACATGCATTTTCTTACTATGTCTACAACCAAGCAGTCAAAGGAAAGAGAATGAAAGCTTCTTACTGAAAACCATTTTCTTAAAATTACTTTGAGCTTAAGGAGTGAAAAATCTTACCTGCAAACATATTGCCAGGTTGACTCTACAGCCCAGTGATGTGCTGACAGCCCGTGGATGGAGACCAAGATCTTTAAATAATTTTGAAAATGACTGAGTAAGAGCTATCCGAGGTCGTTCTTCAGCCACTACTACACACGTCCGTACACGTGAAAGGTCCAGTCCCCTTGCCTAAAACAAAGTTAAAACATAACAAAAGCCACAAATGAGCAGGTTTAATGAAAAACAGTTAGCATCCCTGAATGTATTATGTAGCTATTATGACTCCAGAGGAACAGCAGAGTAGAGGCTAAGGTGCCAGTGCAATTTCCATCCTTCCTGGAGGCTGGTTGGCCAGATGACAGTCTAAGAGCTGTGGAAGAGCAGACATACTTGCTTGTCATCTCAACGTTAGCACATAGGAAGAGATGGGTATCTAATTCTGAAGGGCGGGAATGCTGTTTCCCAAGATTAATTCAGAAAGCCAGTGAATAACAGCAAACAGAAAGTCGTGTCTAGCCTTGGAAAACTGATTAGGAAATTATTAAGTATTATTAAATATCAGTATCCCAAGATCTAATTTATTTCAGTAGCATACTGGAAATTCTAGATTATTTCAGAAATGTGACTGACTACCTGGCTTTTAATTCTGGAGGAAAAAAAAAAAGAAGATACACTCTGCATACAATGAGGACAATCCAGTTAAAACAATACAGTGTTTTGGAGTACATGATTATTTAACTACAGGGGCCAGAACCAAACCAATACTTCATATAATCAGGGAATTCATAAAACATAATACACAGTATTATGGACACAGTCCACTCCTTGGACCTTTCAGACATTTACACCTCTGTTTTCCAACACTTGCCTACCAACACAGATCAGAAAGCTTAGGTAAATAAAAGCCTTTCCTTGATGTTAAAAGCCTTGTGATCTGAAAGAAAATGACCAATATTCATCCACAGCATCTGGCAAGGCATAACACAGGCTTTGTGGAAGCTGCCCTTGCCCTCTGATGGTTTTGTCCTTGCTGCAGACATTGAGCAGAGCCGCTCATGGCAGGGAAGGCTCTCAAACACCTCTGTGCAGACGACAGCTTGTGCAGGACAGCAGCACCACTCACCTTCAGTGACTCCGTTTGCGAACCGAGTCCCTTAGTACAGAGCTCCATGACCGAATAGGAGCAGAAAGTGTCCCTCACTTTGTACTGGCTCACGGCAAGAAGCCACAGAGCAGGATTGGTCTCCAGTTCTGAGGGAGGAATCAAAATAGACTGGTGTCCTGAATAAACGCTGCAAAGACACAAGATTCATTAATGCATGCTAAACGCCTGCGTCCACGGATGTTTACGAGCTATGGGGTACTAGAATATAAAGTTTATCAGAGCGCTGAATGAACCACGAAATATCTTATAGTGCTCTACAGTAGCTTAACACAAAGTTTAACTCTGTTTTTTTTTGTTATAGCTTCAGTCTATGAGGAATCACAAGGAATGCAGGCAGAACATGCTCCTAAAATACTAATTTACTCAAAATGCCCATGGACTTTGCTGTTAAAACTGTACTGAAGAAAGCAAAATAGCTCAGTTATTAATGGTGCTAATAAACCGTACTATAGTATCAACAAAAATTATGTGTTGCTGACAAATAATTAAGATTGAGTAATTACCATTTTAAGATACCTTGATTAAAAGAGCACTTGATTGCTTAATATGGAAAAAACCTCTCTGCTGTTGAGGCAAGCAAGAGCTTTGCAATCATTTTCAAGGGAGTAAATCTGGCCCCAATTTAATAATCCTTGTGGCTTTAAATTTCTTCTGTGAAAGTTTTATGAACTTTTAAAACTCAAATATACTACATGTCTAGCTTATTGTATACCGTGTGAGCATAACTATTGAGAAAAGACACTCATCAGGGTCCCTGAAGAAAACAATTGTGTCAGAGATAATTTCTCTGGTACCCATGATTGTCCCCAAGGGGAAAAACATTCCCAAATTGATGTCTTTCGTTCCTGTGGGTCCTCTGTTGTTCACTCATCTCAGATAGGTAAATTTATCATCAATTTTACAGCCCCCCTCACATCTTAACTTGTGATTTGCAGATATTTCAAATCAGAATGGTCATAGCATAAACCCCCCAAATCACTAAAGTTCTGAGAAAGGACCATAAAGCCTCAGAGATTTATGATGCACATGAGAGAAATTAATTCGTGACTAGAAAATTCAAAAAGCCAGCTTGGTAAAGTAAAGCTGACATTTGCAAATCCAAGTGCCCTATGTAAGACATGAAATGGAAGTTTATTTTCAGGAATATGAGCATGTCTGTAACATTTGACATTAGCAAGACAATACACACCTCTGCAATTCTTGAAGATGGGCTCCTCACACAGCTTCCTTCCTCGGTGAGTGAGTGCCCCCACTCCCCCCAGACGCAGAAGAGAGTGCTTTCAAAAGCTGGGCCATTTACAACAACGTTTCTGTGACCTGGATGCCTTTACTTGGTATGATAAAGGCATAAAACGTGTACAGGTCTAGCCACAAAGGCAGTTAATAATCCAAATAGTTTAGGTCTCTGCTGGAGTATAAGCCAGAGGATGTCATGGAATATGAATGAACTGCAGTTCAAACAATTTCATTTATCATACAGTAAAAATTTCATCTTTGACTGCTTGTCCACATTTATGCCACTCTTGATGATTCACGACCAGTGACTTGCCATGAAGCGATGTGTTCTCAGATATGGCTGACATAATGACCATAGCACGGGACGGTCAAATAAAGCATTATGCTTTTATGTTGCTTTTATGGAATAAGAATAAAGTATGACTGAGCTTTGAGCCTGTGCTTCATAAACACGCAAAAAGAGATGTTGGCAAAATTACCCAAGCCTGAAAGGAGCACGCTCTGACCTCAAGTGACAGATCAAACCCAGTCAGGGAGTAGTAACAGCTTTTACTATAAATATTACTTCACGCTTTCTTTCTCGGCCAATTACCAAAAGGTCTCAGTTCTTTGCAAATTTAAGGTTAGGGTTCCACAAACAACCAAGGTGTGTGATCTGTCTGGTAAATACATAATTCTTACCAACAAGAATCTGTAACCCCTTGAGTAAGAACCTGGGATGGGCTCCAATCTGTACAAATACGGCACACAGAGATTCAGCATCAAACCCTTCTCCCATCCCTGAACTACTCTGGTTGATATAAAGAAGAAAAAAATCTGCACAACAATAAACCACCTGCCAGGAGGTCAAATGTGGGAGAATTATTACTCAGAACCAAATTAAGATCCATTATGTGCCACTTATTCAACTGGGCAGAACATCCCAAAACAAAACTATATCAAAAGAACAAACTTCATCCCTGTGCTGAAAAGTGCCCACACAAACCCCACAGCAATAAGGGAGGAAAAATCTGCATTGCTTTCAGTAGAAGAACAGAAGATTGATTCAAAATGCATTTTACCAGGAAATAGTCCAAAATGGCAGAATCTGGGAATACAAATTTACATGAAAGACAAATCCTTTCCCCCTCAGCAACACTAATGAGTGGGGGTGAGCTGTCTCCCTCTCTTGATCAACAAGTCAAAAGGATACTTGTGTTTGCTTGTAACCTCTCACCAATAGCCCTGCAGCAAAGCATGAGGATTTGGATGCAAAATAACCCCATCTCCTCCAGACAGAGGAAAACAAAACACTCACATGATCAGACTTTGATTAAAAAAAAAAATCACTTTGATTAGACAGAAAAAAACCCGAAGATGTTGCTAGTACCTCTTCTGAGTTTTCTAATCCCTCAGAAATACCAAGGAGTTCAGAATTAAACTGCAGAGCAGTGGGAAATATCTAGCAGGAAGGAAACTTTCTGTGGTGCAGAACCTCAGATGTGTGCTGCTCCTGTCTACAGTACTTAAACCCACAGAAAGACACCAGCACGCCTGGAAACTTGATGACCACCAGAGGCTTTGCCCACCAAGCTATGGTTTAACAACTCATGCATATGATCTGACTTGCTAGAGCAGTTGGTGGAGCTAGGAGAGGAACTACAAAGACATATTTCTGAGGCGAGTGTGCCAGTTCCACAGCTGAAGTGGTTTATGCAATGTCAGTCATAACTTCACTCACCTCCCTGAATCAATCTCAGAAACACTGGGCAGGTTTTGTGAATCACTCCAAGCAACAAAACGTTCCTGGTGGCCACGTATCCTTGCAAATTCAGATTTTATTCTTCCACGTTAACCTCTGAGAAGCAGCATGTCAACAATGTTTTGGTGGAGAGAAGTTGAGATAAAAAAGATACTCCTTTGTACAGCTGACTGAAACATTTCTACCACTTTAGTGGTTTTAAATCACTGTGAGATGTTAGAGGGTGTTTGCTTAGTATGGAGGCCAACAACCAAGCAGAGGACCATGTACTTGAACAGACTGCAGTTATGGAGGGTTGCTTTGGAGACAAAGTTAGATATGGTCCCAAACCTATAAGAAGTTCCTCAGGTAATTCTAGGTATGGTAGAGACGACTGGTATGACATCTGGGTATGGCACATCCTAGATATGGTAGAGTTAATCCTGAAATAGAGGCACTGAACAAACAGTTCCACCTCCCCTTGAAACACGTCAGACATCAAGAGATGGTTAAGCTGCCAGCTTTGCTATTCTTATACTGGAAGGAACAAAATTGTGATGAACACTGTGGTAACAGGGATGAGATGGGATATTAGGAAACGTTGGGGGTTTAAATAGAAATTGTAGAAGCCAAAATTACTGTTCTGAAATTGCAACAACATATGATACATTGGAGTAGGAGCAAGGATTTAGTTATATAAATAATAGGATGGAACTGAAGCAAGACTGGGCAAAGCCTTGGATTTTGGCAGTAAGCGAAGAGCCTTGTCTGCCTGCACTAAGCAAGGGCTGCCCAAGGACAGGAATACTCCAGTTGTACACCAGGATGCATTTTGGTATGATGGTGCCATCTGATCACAACACCATCTCCACCGCCTGCCAGGCTGTTTTGGCACCATATGGAGATGCCTGGAAGGACACCTTGGCAATTAACTGTTCCACTGAATCAAAGATTTACTCCATGTTGTGCCGAGGCAGATGAACAGTAAAGTCTGAGGTTTTATTATAGTTCCAGAAATTTCACCAGGACAATAAACACTGACAAATGGCAACTACAATTTGCAATTGCATTCTGGCAGGCTACTGACCCACCGCTACCCTCACTTCTGGTGTCCTTCTCAGGTTATATGAGCTGCCTTCCCACTTCATTGCAGGAGGCAGGTAGGTACTGCTGAGTCTGATATGAATTTAGTTTCTACATTTCTACAGATGATATTTGGCATCTGGTGATGAGGAACAGGTATGGGAATTGCACATTTGGTAGAGCCTGAAATAATTGAGTTGTCATGCCCACAATTGAAAGTCTGTGAAAAGAGTCTGCATGCTGACGGAATCCGAGCAATGTTTGAGCAAAAACCTTCATAAACATCTGGACCAGAGCTTGCAGCAAGAATGGTACAGGCCACAGATGAGAGTGTTTGGGTATATGTCCGACCTAGGCTTCACAAGACTTGGGCCAAAATTAAATCTTCATTCCTCCTGGAGACCCATTACATGCACAAAAAAAGTGCTTTTGGAGAACAGGTAAAGGACCTCACACCACCTATGGAGTCCAAAGAAGCCCAGCTGGCATACAGTGCACTAACAGCATGACTGCACATGGTAAGCAGGTAAGTGATCAGCACTATCAGACAGAGATACCTCTCGAAGAAGTTTAACTAACGTACAGCAAAAGGGATCACCATGTGGGGCACGCAGATTTTCCCAGAAAGAAAAACATCTCATCCATAAATCTTGATAGGCTTCTGGTGCAGAGAGTAGGTCCAGTCTTTACAACTTTCACACCAGAGTACTGGGAGCTGGTGAGAGTGGTGCCATAACACAGCACTCTGCTCTAACTCACGCTCTGGTGTTGGTACCCCGGTCAGATACCTGTACGTCTTTGGTTAACACTGAAATGCCAGTATTCTGTTCCTGTAGTGCCTGCACCCCTGCTTGGACAGTGCAGTCTGCCCAGAATGAGAGCCAGAGGTTAACTCGAAGCTCTTGTTACTGGCATGCCTTCAAAAGGCTTTAACCTCTCCCTTTCAGAGTTGTGTTTTGGCAATCTCTGAGCCTCACAAGGGAACCTTTCTAACACGGCTCAGGTTGCTCCTGGGCACTGCTGAGCTGATGTGTAACTTGGGAAGCGTGTTGTTGACTGCTCCTGAGCACAAACACATCATCCAGCAGCACCAGGAGTGGGAATCATACAACACTGGTGGAACTTGGAGTGCTCAGGGCCAGCACAAAGTCTCTACATCTAAATACATCTAAATTTTAAAAATTTGGCCACTGTATCTATGTTGTATTGAAGACGAAAGAGATGGCCATCTTGCCCTGCATAGAGAACAAGCAGCCTGAGGTTAACTGGAGGATGCAGAGAGCAGTGTCATTTCTGTTGGCATTGGCATTAGAGACATCCTAAGGCAGGCAGAGGCTAAACGCATCTGGCTAAGTTCACTACAGCACAGTTTGTATTTATAAGCCATTCCTCAGACTTGAGCACCACCTCTCTTGCCCCAGGTACTACCCCATGTACAGGCAGGTCTACAGAGCCAGTGGAGTTAGCTGATGGTGGAGTTAGTCTGTCGACGCATTAAAGAATTCACATATCAAGGTAACTCAGAACTTTCAGCTGCCCTTGAACATTCCAGACTGCAGGCAGGTCTAACAGACCTATTGCGATGTGGAAGAAATGCAAATTACCTCTTCCACAAATTGCCCAAGACTCCACGGAAAATGGGCACATGGCAGTGTGTGGGCAGATGCACCTTTACATTCCTCCTGCCCCAGTTATGCACTTTGCAAAGCACACGGGAGATGGTTATATTCCTATCCTTCACTTCCCATGTCAGAATTAACTTTCTCTGATGTGGCATTTAGGCTTCTTTATGCAGTCTTGCCTTTAATTTGCTATAAATGGCTTGGAAATTGGGTGAAATCACAGAATCATAGAATATTAGGAGTTAGAAGGGACCTCGAAAGATCATCCAGTCCAACCCCTGCCAGAGCAGGATCACCTAGACCAGGTCACACAGGAACACGTCCAGGTTGGTTTTGAATGTCTCCAGAGAAGGAGACTCCACAACCTCTCTGGGAAGCCTGTTCAGTGCTCTGTCACCCTCACAGTAAAAAAGTTTTTCCTCATGTTCACATGGAACCTCCTGTGCTCCAGCTTGCACCCATTGCCCCTTGTCCTGTCATTGGCTGTCACTGAGAAGAGCCTGGCTCCTTCCTCCTGACACTCGCCCTTTACAAATTTATAAACATTAATGAGGTCACTCCTCAGAAATGCTCATGTCTGCCAGCTATCTTCAAGTTACCCTGAAAAACCTAACAATAATTAATGAGTCCTAGCACCCTGAAGTTTGCTAAAATGGAGTTCTCATGTTAATGCTGCAATTCCTTACTTATTTACTGCACAGTTCCACCTGTATGGTTAATAAAAAACCTTGCAGCCTCTTGCTGCAGAAGCTACCCAGCAGCACCACTGCAGACTTCGGCTTGTGGCTATGGAACAGAGACAGCAGGAGTGGGACAGGAGAAAGCCACTTCACTGCATCTCACCTGGAAAGGCTTCCTAGGACCATTTCATAGCATTCACACTACTTATTATGTGGCCAATGTGGGCTGGAAAATTCAGTTCCTCTGGTTCACTTTGAGTGTTACTGACTTGCACTATTACAATATCAGTTTCTGGGAATATATATGTAATTTATTTAAAATAATTCATGTACCTAATTTTAATTTCAGCACGGAAAATTTTATCTTCCAGTAGTAAAAGCAAAACTGCAATATGGGTTGGCTTAGCTAGGCTAAAATGGAGGGAAGATTCTTATTCTATTGTATTATTCAGCAACTATCAAATAAGTAAACTCTCACTAACAAACTGTAGAATGCTCTACTTTCCCCCACATTGAGCAGCATTAAGATAGGGACATCTTAATTTCAGGAAGCATTTTTGAACAATGGGATTCAGTACTGATTCTTTTTACACTGGGGGACACTTGTCCTTTTTTTTTCTTTTAAAGAAAATAATACATTTTAAAATACAATGCAACACAATCAGTGTATTAGAATCACCCTCTCAGAATGGATAAATGAGACTATTAAAGAGAAGAACGCAAAACCAGTGTATTCTTTTATTGAGTCATTAGTATGAACCTCTTAAAATCAGGAAGTTTGGGGTTTGTGAACTCATGTGGGGCTGACGACTGCCACCACACCCAGGATGTGCTGTTCAGTGACAAAGGTTCCCAGGAAACCCTGCTGGAGCATGCAGTCAGTAGAGAGGGAACATGGCAAATCCTAGTTTTTAAAAAATGTATTGCTCTGCTTTGCAAGGTTTCTTTTCTTTATTATTTTATACCCTTTAGTCCATAAAATAATAAACTTTTAAAAAATTAAAACTTTGCAAAACTATGCAATATATTCCAAACTTACCAAAGGGCTGGCTCCATGCTCCAGCAGCTTTCCTAAGCAGCTTTGACCTCACAGAATGGGGCATTCTGGGGCACTACAGTGGAGCAAGCCAGAACAACGTCTAAGCATCTACAACGGGGATAAAAGGTTAAGTTTTTCTTTCATTCCTTAGTCAATGCCTCCTTTGGTCTAGCTAATAAAGGGATTAAAATGTACTTGTCAGTTTAACTGCACCCAGCACAGAAGGTTGCTTTCTCTTCCTGCTGGGCTCCTAAAACGAAGAGTTCTTATTTAACTCTCAAAACCCCTTAGCTGATCAAAAATTGAAGATCTCACTTCATTTCCATATGCCATTAGAAGTATTAATTTAGTTAATGGGAGTGGCGACAGACAATCATAACTTTACAGTAGAATCCTCCGAGGTAGAAATCTGGGCTGTAAAATATTGAGGAGGATTTTGCCACGTGAAACTACAAAGAAGAAAATGCAAAGTTTTAAGTTATGAAGAGTAAGAATCTAATAACCTCCAGGATGTATTTTTTGCTATCACATCAAATAATACTTATTTCTAAAATAGTAATGAAATGGAAATTAAGTTTTTAAGTGGAATTAATGAAGCTGTATCTGATGTCAGCTTTCTCTAAAAGACAGTTGCAATTCAAGCGGCCTGCAGTATTTCTGGTTTTCTAGGAACAGGAGAACAGTTGCAAAGAAGAGATTGACACAAGGGTTCATAAGATTAGAGTGCTGCTGGCCTGATCTCAGTTCCTTCAACTCCCTTGTTTCCTTTCTCTTCTTTGAAAATGGTATAAAATTTTCTATTCTGCAAGCTACGGAGTGGCGCAGACCTTGATTTCCTTCTCCCAAAGGTTTGCTGCCTTATTCACTTGCGAGGCACAAACAATCTTCTCCTCCTAAAGGGCTGAAAACTATTAGCATTGGGAAGGATCTAAGGTCAGCAAAAGCTTATCTGTTGCAAATATGGTTCTGGAAAAAACAAACATTTCTGTATGCAGGAGAGTCATGGGCACCCCAAATTGGGTTTAGGACAGGTCAACATTTATCTGTATTTTACAGCTCTGTCATGATGCTGCATAGAAGTTATTCTTGGATGCTCCATGTCCCAGCATTATCCCATGCAGTAATAGACTCCCCCTAGCTGCACCCACCTATGGTGCTCTGCAGTCCTTAACTGGCCTCAATGAATGCACCACAGCAGATCTGGCTTAGCCCCCAGCAGAGCGAAGGCCTAACAGTGTTAACACCAGGGCATGCTGGAACACATACCTTTATACAAGAAATACTCATCTAACTTAAAAAAAATCAACATTTTAAATTAAATTTAACAAATCAACAGCATTTGACTTAAATGAAGCAATTTAATTTAAATCTCAAAATTTCTGAAATGTTTTCTTTTTTTGCAGCCTCAGTGTTTTTATTTTTGTGTTGGGGAAATAAGACATTGAAATGAAATGATTTTTCAAAACAAAGAATTCCCTAACCCCCATGTAAATCTGAAATAATATTAGGGCAAGTATAGTTTAAATCAAGAAAGACTGATCAAGAATGAATAAAATAAAAATGTTAATCTTTGGCCCATTTAATACTTAATAACAAATATTTCAAAAGGGCAACAAAACAGGCCAACAACCTACTTTTAAACACACAATACTTGCTGAGAATGAATTGTTGCAGTTATCAAATAATGCTTCCTCCAGGTATTTAGTAAATTGTTAAAAAGCTAATCCAGAGTGTTTTTATTGCCCTGGATTATCTTCATTTTAATAACTAAAAATAGCAGCACTGCTAACACCAAAGAACTTTCTATGGCAGAAGAAAAGATGTTGAGCTACTGTGTCTTCATAAAAATGTGCTCCATGAGTGCTCCCAGAGCTCTTCCCCTTTGCCTCTGCCATCAACCCAGCTAACTTCAAAAAAAAGAAAAAAAAGAAAGAAATCGATGGAACTGCTTTCAGTGCTGAACTGTAACTTCCCTGGAGTATAGAGACTGACAGAATCGCTAATGTTCTAAACTTCTTATTAACCAAAAAAGCTGATTCCCATTTCACTAGAAATGTCTTTTTGTGATAGCTTTGCCACTGCCACAGAAGTATCCTTCTGCAAGAAAACACACTTCCATGTGTCTGCAAAAACCACATCCGTAAGTCCCACAAATGAGGAAGCTCCTGATATCTACTCGTGCTTTCAGATTACAGAATGAAAAAGAGGACAACAGGAAACCACTTCCTTAAGGTAACATTGGTAGAGTGCTACCTTCATCAAATAAAACCAGCCAGACTCTGCAGAGACAGCCGTAAACCAGCAGGAGGTCGATGCGCAGCCATGTCGATGCTCTGCACTCATAAGCTGAAATAACTACGGCCATGCCCTGCTCAAATGCAGCGTATTCTCCGTACAGCACTCTCCATACAGCTCCCAGCAAATCCAATTGCCTATGTCAGTCCAAGAGGTATTGCAGGTTCTTACCATCCTTTTATCACTCACATCATCCGTTTTGCTGTGTTATAGTACAAGGGAAACAGTATTTTAAAAGCTCGAGGAGAAACCTCACCTGCAGAGGCACCAGAGGACAAACCCAAGTCCGCAGTAGGGGTCCAAGCAGATAGCGACTTCTCTGGAGGGATAAAGCTCACACTGCAGCTTAATAGAACGACAAAAGGCACTAGTGGCTGCATGAGACATCTGAAAGACAACAGCAAAGTAATTAAAATGATCAACTATGTCATTTGGACGGCTCATTCCCAAACTGCACCAAGTGCTTAAATCAGTTACAGGATAAAGAAAACAAATAAATATTGACTTTGTGCTCAGTGTAAACACACACGTAATTTATAGCTAAGAAAATATAATTTTCCTTCAAGAGGGCATCCAAACAACCGTGAAAGGGGAGGGGAGACAGAATGAATGATAAGTTTGAAGTGATTTAGGGAGAAAGCTGTTTAAGGATGTGCTCCAAGCTGTACGCAAAGCTGATGATAACAACAAGTTAATCTTTCCGGAAGAACAAAGGCATGAACGACTGCAGGATCTGAATGTAATTGGAAGTATTTTCTTGATCATTAGTAACATATTTCTAAGTACATATTTATTAATACAGTAAATAAAAAATGCCAATGCACTTTTTAAACTGAAGAGGATTTTGCATGCAGAACGGTACTAAGGACCTAATCATTTGGCAATAAAGATGCTCAATAAAGTTAGTAAAAGTTCTGGAAAATGTCTCCATGTTATCCAGCTCCTAATTGAGAAACAGGCTCTTAAAACTCCTGGTAAGAAAGCTCAGAGATAAAACAAGCAGAAACAAAAAACCTGATCAAAAGGAGATTCTTCTGATTTTTTTTTTTCTAGTGTTAAGATGTTTTCCACACTCACCCATCCTGGCTACAGGATCCCTAACTACAAGTGGGAACAGAATTAGATCTTTCGATCTTTGTCCTCTCTGCTAATAACAAGAAAGATCCCCGTGTTAGAAATACAGCCTGGACTGGATTTAACTCATTTGACCTTTGAACTCTGCCACATACTGAGCTAGTTGCCTTACATACTGCTAGAGCCAGTGGAGGGGAACAGGCACTTGTAAGGTAAAATTTGTTTGATTTGAAGCAGAGGAATAAAGCCCCAGAAGTGACTTTTTCTCCGTTGCCCATGAGAGCCATAACTGAGGCTGGACATGCTCCAGGTGATGCAAAAGGACCAGCTCAAAACAGGTGTCCACATGGCGGCCATCTGCAGCTTGCAGAGATTAGTAATTCTACTCTAGCTGAATCAAGACCACTTTTTGGCACAGGATTAAACTGAACACTGTAAGGGTGGTGTTATTCTGTGAATTTTTACACCATACTAGGTGCAAGCTAGTGAAAAAGTTGAGACTAAATCTAAGTGCAATCTACTACTTCCAAAGCATTTACAAAACATTTATCAGCTTTTCAGAAGCCACATGTTTAGGCAGTTGTTTAGCCGTTTTTTAAATTCAGCACCATGGTGTTATGAATATAAACCCTGTGGCCTCTTACGATCACTTTATAATTAATTAATCACTAGTGATGATCTAGTAGATGGTAACTGTTTACGTAAACCTGCTGAATCAGTGATCTGGAGGCTCTGTGACCCAGATATCAGAAGATAATCAAGAATTCCTTGAGATATTTATCTGTACTTCCCTTTAGACACATTAAGAAAAGGTTCTTCGACTTGCCCTGCTTTTGACTACCTTTGAAGCTCTCCAAATACTGATTTGCATAGTTAGCAGTCATTTCTGCAAGTCTGATAAGGTAGAATTCAGAGCTGACAATACAGATGGCTGCATCCAAAACAACCATTTAAGGCTTCCTTTAGAATAAGTGAAGACTGATGTGACATTCACCCTACTCAAAAATAGACGTTTCAGATAGATTACAGCTTAAAAGTCCCTGCTTCTCTCTATTGATTATTGAGGAGCCCAGTGATGACTCCACATCTGAAGGCACTGTAGCTATTTCAAGTTGGAGGATGTGTAACTTCCAGCAGTGTCCTGTAGGTGACCATCAGCCAGCTCAGCCACTTAACCATCAGTCAACCTTGGGCTGGCCACTTCACTGCTCTGTGCTTCAAATTCTCTATCTGAAAACTGGGAATATGAGGCTTGCTTTGTTTATAAAGTATGCTGACAGCTTCTGAAAATAGATAGATTATGCCAAAGACTGTGAGGAATTCAATATAGGCTATAAGTGTGATACATAATAAAATAATAAATAATCCTTGGATATGCAACAGATAGGAGTAAAGAAGTAACAGGTAAGAATAAGAAAGTGATTTTACCTCTGCCTGCCTGTTGGTGAAACCAACACTGGAATAATATGTAAGTCAGCAGCCAGATAAAACAGCTTTGATGAATTATGGCTAGAGGGTTGGAGAAAATAACAGAATAGAGATTTAAAGAGCTCAAGATGGCGAAGCTTATCAAACAAATCCATCAATGATTTTTTTGCTGCTTACTCTAATATTGTACCAGATGAATGAACAAGAGACAGCAGCAGTTCCCTTAATTGCACGAAGAAGAGAATAATGGAATGGCCAGCAGATGAGTTGTAATAAGGAGGAAACAATGAACAGGGACTGGAACAAGTACGAAAATGATAACTGAGTTTCATCTCCCTCATAAAATGGACACAATAGATGCTTCAGTTGAAGAATACTTCAGGCAGACAAGCTACTGGGCTACCCGCAGGAGTGTCGGAATGAAATGTTTACACTGAGGAGGAGAGGGGCTAAACTTGCCATACACATTACTATAGTGAGTATAAAAGAACTAATGTTAATGGAATCAAATGATGACTGCAAAGGAGGAAGCAATTTAATTTCTATTACCAAAAATCAAGAGGAGTTACAAATCAGCAGTAATGCACTGCCTGCCAGCCAGGCATGGTAGCAGGAAGGGCAGCTTGAACAAGAAGTCCCTACCTTTACCCCTGCCAGCATGCCAGTTGTGGAGACACTGAAGTCAAGGTAAGCAAGCGTTTCAGGGTTAGACGGTTTGTAGATCTGTGCAGGCCGCTTCTTTGGCAAATCATCTGGTAAAAGGAGAGAAAGAAAATGTGTGTATCTTACTGCCATGACAGTCAGACCTTGGAGTGTTTGACAAACACAATGATAAAAGAAGACACAGAGGTCCTCGAGCCTTGGTACTCACCTGTATCTAGTACCGGAGGCCATGTTCTGACATCCACTGCTGCTGCTGCCTCTCGCGACCGCAACAATTTACATATTAATTGTGTAGTCATTAAGCAGGCAGAGCGGCTCACCTAGGAATTTAAGAAATAAATAATAACGCAATGGGATACCGATTAATTCTCCCATGAAAATGTGCAAGACCACGATTTATCTTCTGCCAGAACAGGACACAGGTATATTAGTCTTGTGCTTTCCACTCAGGAGGTGGAAAGATGCACAAAAAATGCAGCTCACAAAGCAGACAGAGTCATGCGAGTTTTACAAATTACATGAAAACTGCACTTTGAGAAGTGTTGTAATGAAACTAAAGGCACCTTAATAGTGAGAGTGTGACTTTTCCAATACGTTGTATCAGTTATCAACTCAGAATGCTTGTACAGAAGACTGTGACCAAAGCATTTCCTGTGTGATGCTAATATATCTTGATTTATAAACAATATTTTCATATAAACCCTTACTATCTTAAGTCAAATTTATGTTAGGCATATATTCCCAGTTGCTGTGCTAGTAATAAAACACTGGGATCTCTTCTGATATCAGCAAAAGTAGCTCCAGACCAAAAACGGTGCAAGTGGCACTAAGAAATGAAATGGGGAGCTCCCTGCAAATACCATCTGCGCTGAATTTTAGAAGACACATGCTGAGGGTGTTCTCCTTTTCGATTTGCTATTTCTAAAAATATGCAAATAGCAACTACAAGAATACTTCTTACTGATTGTAAAATGAATATATTTATGGAAATATTCAGTCAAACATAAATATGAAAATCACTGTTATATGATAAGTGTTAATCACTTTTATATAAATGTATATGTTAATCACTGAAGACCGTCCAGAGGAAAAACCAAACAGGCAGCACCATTCTTCTTTTCCCCGGACTTTGAAATCTGTGCACAGACACAGATTTCTTTTCTTGAAGGAATCTCAGACATTTAATTCCACACTGAACTTCCAATGTTCAGCCTAAGGAAACCAGTAGATATATGTACACTAGATTTTACCACTGGGCAGAAGAGATCAGTTTCTGTTGACAGTAATCTCATGGAGGTCAGCTTTATTACAGTACTTGAGGAAATTAGGATCATACAAGCACTGACCCAAGCTCTACTTACTCTTCTAACCTTGAGATTTTCCTGTATGGGCAATCTAAATATTTCAAGCTAAAGGACAAGAAAACGAAAGCCACTGCAGCATCCCTGAATCCAATCATGTCATTGCCATGGCAAGGCAAGGCAATTCTTACACAGCTCATCTTGATTTGGTAAATCCACAAAATGAAAGGAATTTCAAGAGTTGCTGGTTACTAACACTGTCAGGAATTACATTAGCTGGAAGGTCAGGAGGTTGATTAAAAATACTGAATGTCCATACCTGGAGAACAGCAAGTAGGAGGTAAAGACACGTGGACAGTGGGAAGGAGGAAGAAGACACCTTAGCTACAAGTTTGCAACTGCTCGAGATGGTGCTTAATAATGTACAGTAATATTTTACGACTACCAGTTCATCACAAAAAACCAATCATGTAGGCCAAGTTTTGCTCAGAAGTCATTCTGACTGACTTCAAAAGGTACTGTATAGACATACAGCATGTCAGAGCAGGCTCTGACCCCATCACACTGGGAAATTTATGACTGCATTGCCAATGATGCAACAGCCTCAATATTTTAATTTCTACAAGGTCATCCCTTCCAAAATGAAAGAAAATCTTGTGTAAAACAGAGCTGAGAGGCTTTTAAGTCAAACAGTCATTAATATGGCTAACAAATTTCACCGTTTTATTTAGTCTACTGAAAGGATGATGATTACAAGTCAGTTTAGACCTGTCCTAGTTTTTTTCCATTAAATCAAGCAGATCTAGTTTGGCTATTGAACATCAAAGGAAAAACAAAATAACACATTTTACATCACTTCTGTAATTTTAACAACCGATGGCTAAAAACTGTGAATGCCAAGGTATTAAATATTGAGAACTCTGAAGACAATAGGACAATTTCTCGCACCTCTACTGGTACTTTGTGGTTTTAACTTTTTTTCAGAGACTTAGAATTCCATTCAATAGATTAGAAACTAACAGATGTAAAAGGCTATTTTCCCTGCAACTATTTTATCTCTATAGTTACAAGCACAATGCAGTTATTTATGTGCAACAAAGACTAAGCATTATTAGATAAAGACAAAATACCAACAGAAAGCACTGAATGAAAAAGTCTGAGTAACACTTCTCTGGATGAAACAAAATACCAACATCTTCACAACAGAACTTGGAAATTGCTTCAAACAGCAAAGCAATTAAACGTAGAGAGCTGAGCACAAATCACCATCAGGTCAAGCTAAGCTTTCCATTGGGATTTTTCTCAATAGTCAGTGTAGCGTTGCCAGCTGAGGAATCCTACCATTCTTGGCATACAGCTAAATATGAGAAAGCACTTCAAATATATTTTGTGAAAGGAGTAGCATAACTGCAGCAAAATGTGACAGCAGAAGTCAGAAGGTTGTGTGCTGTCAAGCAGTGTTGACTCTGCAACACACTGAAGTCCTGAATTTTTGGAGGGAATACAACTCCTCAACCGACACCATCATTCAGTTAAGTTACTGTTCCTAAAGACTACGCAAATCCAGTGCCCAATTAATGTACACTTTAATGTGCGTTTTCAGGTGTCTGCTCACCTCAACAATCATCTTCACTGTAGGTAACGTGGTAGCTATGTTCTGAGGATGTGGAGGTCGAACTGTTATTGGCACACAGCCTGCATACAGGCATCCATAAAATGCGGCAATCAGGTCTATTCCTGCATGAAGAACAAAACAAAAATCTTCCCCTGAAAATCAAATCATTTAATCACAGACACCTATGTCAGCATAAATATTGCTTGGAACTCAAGTCAGAAGGTTAAATGAGCGACCAAGTCCTTTAACGGACTTCTTTTTCAGCCCCTTGCCAGTATTTGTTCAGCTTCACTGATTCCTTTCAATTGTACTGTTCTTCTGAGCATGAAAAACCAAAGGCGACACACAAAGCTGCAGCCAGATATCATCACTTAGGTGAACTCCACTTCCATAATCAGGATGTAACCTGTCAAAAAGACTGCTTTCCACAGATTAATTATCTTCCTAAATTTACATTTATAGACAAATGAGAGTCTACAAGAAGAGAGATGCCTCAGCGAAAGGATGGGGTAGGATGATGCCTGTTCCTATCAGCTGCAGAAGGAACATCTGGAGGTTTCATTAAATACTGTCTTTCTCATGTCATTTGTAACCTCAGATATGCAGCTGTGACTTATCTACCTGCAATTTTAGAGTCAAAAAGGGAATAATTGTTTTGAAATCCTGCTTCTAACATAAAATCAGGTGTTGTTCTATATAAATATTGACTGCAGGTGACAGATTGTGGAGAGCACACTTCAGGCTATCGAAGGAGGCTGAGCAGACACCAGGACAAAGATCCTGTTTGATAGCTCCCTGCTGCTGTACACAGGCTGTGATAAGATGACAATGGGGGCTGTTTATTCTTTCAGTGGAAAAGGATCTGGAGTACTGGTGAGTTATGGTTCCTTCAATAAAATGCTTTATTCATGGGAAGTGAAACACAGAAAATAAAAACTTAAGTTTAAAATACTAGTCCTCTTTTGTGACAAAGGTCTTCTCCTATCAACCGCTGAGAAATTACTCCTATAAACTATAAAGATTTAACTAGTAGCTTGCAGCCCTTACAAACCAAATATCACAATAGAGACCTTAAATCAGACAGTTTATTTCACCAACACACGTGAAATGCTAAAGAGCAGCACTAGATCAGAAATAATTTCAAGCAAATGTCAAACATGGTATCGGTTAACACAAGCTTAAAAGCTCTTCTGGCAAAGGATGAAAATCCAAGCCACAGAGAGCTGTCTAGGTTAAAGATCAACAGAGAAAACAGTGAGGATTATTTGGTATTTCTTAATCATCTGCTGTTTATTCATCATATTTCTACTCTAAAAAGCATGGATTACTTCCTGGGTATAGCTGCTTTACCATCACGAAACACAGCACTTCCAAGCAGGAATTCAGCAGGTGAATCTGAGAACACTCAGCAGAGGGGAGTATTTCAGCAGAACTTTGTGCTGATAAAATAGGGTATTTCCAGAAGTTCTTTACCTGGTGGGTAGACCAAAGCCACATGGTCTCCATCTTGTAAATGTCCCCTTTCCATCAACATGACAGCTATCTTCTCAGCTCGTTTATGTAGCTGGACACATGTTAGTGAGTTGGCTATTGTTCCCTGCACAGGAAGAAAGACAAATGTCACAGAAGATAATGCAGTGTGCTGAAACTCGATTTTCTTCTGCACTTTAGAAGTTACTGGATGAGAAGCGGCCACAATATGTCATGCAATCAACTTAAATACAGAAACCTTCAGCCTTATGCCAAAATGTAGCTGGAAGGAAAAAGCAGCGGGACGTTCTCTATTCCCCTCTCTGTACCTGCTGCCCTCAACAGTGCTTTCTCTCTAATCAAGGGACTGCAGTAGTTTCACAATATTCTGCCCATGTAAACTGCACTCCTTCCCTTGCCACACAGGCAGCATTCCTGCTCCAGCCAGGAAAGTGCCTTTCTGGTCTTTGCAGCAATCTCGAGAATCAGGGGAGAGCAATCCTGAAAATTGCACTTGGTTGTCTGCATGTTGGAGTGCAGCCAAATGGCACAGCAGAAATACTTTAAAAGACAAAAGACACAGGAGAAAACAATACTTTGTGACAGGGGAAAAGAATTAGTCTGGAACAAAAGCTGAGCACATGCATATAAATGAAATAGAGAAGAAAGGCATTTGTTGAATTTTAATAACTCTGGTCAGCATGAAAAGAAAAAGGGAAGTGACAATATGCTACAGAGTTTGGCTTTTGAAACCCTTTAAATAGCACTGATCCAACATTATCAAACAGATATAGTGTTTTAAATCGGATAAGTGTGACAGTTCTTGCATGTCCAAAATATATACATGTGTATACATGCAGACACACAAATAAACATTTAGAGAAATATATACATCTGTATCACAAAATTCTCTATCACACCTGACACCTCCGAAAATAAATCTAAAAATGAATGTTCAGGGCAGACAAACTGCAGCTACAGCTTGGTCTGGCCAGGTCTGGGCTGAGATCAAGGGACAGAGCAGTACGGGAAGGGCTGCACCTCTGGTTGTGTAAGGCTTCTGCGGAAAAAGAGGATTTCAGTCTCCAGTACTGCTATGAGATACCTGGCATCTATCACAAGCACTATGTTCACTTAAAAATAGGGAGTCTGAAAAAACTGGAGGAAAAAAGGTAAGAAAGTATGTATGTACACTTCAAAAGAACAATGTATCAAAAACAATTAAAATACCATATCACTATCCTTATCAAGTGAGAAAGCAAGAAGATCTACTGGTTTAAAGAAATATCCTTTACAGTCTATTTTAACAACGCAAGGAATAATAAGCATTTGGCCTGATTGCTGGGTGCTATCCACCATCACCATCCCACACACCACCACCGCAGCATTTACTGACCACAGGCTTGAGAGAGAAGAGAGCAGCTTGAAAATGGTCTAGCAATGGATGTGACAGCATGGTACCAGGCATCACTTGGCATTTACAAGCTTTATAACAAACCATATACAAACTCAATCACTGTCAACAAAGAGGACAACCTAAATAAAACCTAACCTGAACCTGAAAATAAAAAGGGCAAAGTCAGGGTGTTGCAATCCTCTTCACAGCCACTTACTGAAATGCGCTTCACGTAACTTTAATCAGTCTTCTGAATAACGCAGAGATCATTTCACTATGAAAGCTTCTTCTAGAGACATATGCAACTACATGGATGCTGGACTAGAGATGTCTTCCATCTGTCCAGCCCTAAACAGGGCCAAAGTGACCTGAGGTCTGGGTGTCCTTGTCACTCTAGACCTGTCAGTTGGAATGTGCTTAAACTCTTTGTTTCCTCTTTCACGAAATTGTCTGTCTGCAGCCATGAGGAGAAGGACTCCTTCTTTCCCCACAGACATCAGAAGCACAGGCCCCACTGACACGGAAAGGGAATTGCTATGTATCATGTGAGTTTGTGCAAAACTTGGTTACGTTTAAGATTTCTGGCACTCGTTGCACATAAACGAGTAGAAAGCAGTTTATGAGAAGTGCATGGAAGGAAAATCCTGCTGTTGGACAAGAATCATCGGCAAGCACCAAGCAATTATTGCCTTTGAGTCTTTCATATGAGGTATCCTGCAATGTAAAGGTGTTGCAATCCTTCCTGACACACATTAAAACCAAGGCACTGCGCTAATTTTGAAATCTTTCAAATTCTCAAGAAGCTTGGGTTACAGGAAAACACTAATCTCAAAGGATTTGTATTAGTCATCAACCGCAAGATGGCTGGGTGCTTTAGAACAACGCGTGCAGTCAACGTGAAAGAAGACAAAAAGGGACAAGTTACAGATCAGAACTAAAATTCAAGATAGGTAACAGAACTTGGCTAGACGAAACTCCACCAAACCTGTCACTCCTCTCCATAAAATACTACACTCCTCCATAAAACATTACAACTCTCAAACAAATTTCATACAATTAGATAACTCCACACTGAGAGTATAAAGGAGTGGAGAAACTGAATTTCAAATTTCACCTATTTTTGACTTCCATAGAACAATAACTTATTTTGTTAATGCTTGTTTTCCACATTGTGTCCTTCCCTCCCACTGTCTGAACCCTTCTGCCAGCATGGGAAGTCTTATTTAAAGCTCAAAAGCAACAGCCTGTGTGGAGGAGATGGGATGGTACGTATCACTGTCTCTTTCTCACAGCATCTTTGCTCCTAACTTACAGGAGAGTAGAATGCATTTATTTTAATGGTGTAATATTGAATCCATAAGCAACATTACCTCTCAAGGTTTTCCTTTGCCACAGACAACTACATTACTTTTGTAAAGCTTATTTATGTTATCTGTAAAGCTGTAGATGTTCATATAATTGTAAATATTAATCTGAATTAAAAAAAAGTTTAATGACTCATTGGTAGCCTCAAACTGAACTTCTGTACCAGGACTGTAATACGGGTAGGGGAAGCATATCCTGTAAATACAGTAAATGGTCATTCCACAGATTAGCTGGATTCTAGACATACCTCCTCTTCTCTTCATCTCCTTTCCCCACTCTCACACCTCCCTCCAGACGGTCCAGTCTCAAAACCAACAACCATTGTTTTATTTAGGGAAAATGCTTTGATTTTGCCAAGACTGTGCTTTTCAAATTGGAAATTGGGATGGTGAGCAGTATTAAGCGCTACTCTTCGGTACAGGAACATTCAGTATTGAAATAGATGTGCAGTGTCAGCTCACCCACAACATATATGTGGTGGAAAAAGAAACGAGAAATGTGTAAGGCGCACCGTCTGATACAAAACCAATCTATATTTTGACAACTGGCAATGATTATTCTCTTTTCCTTTCTGCCTCACTGAACATTAAATATAACAGCTGAGTATTAATGGGAAAAGAAACAGAAAGGTCTCGTTTGGCCACAGCACGAGCCGGTGCAGCTGAAACACCAGTGTGGCATTTTCCACACCACAGCCCGGCAGAGTCTGAGCTTCTTACCCTGCAGTTGAGCAGCGTGTAAAGCACATGGTCAGGAGTGGTCTGCGCTCTCCACTGCAGCACTTCGGAGAGGAAGAGGAACTAAAAGAAAGCAGAGCGATAGCCATGGCATTAAATAACTTTTTGGCTTAAAAAACCAGGTAACTATTTTTTGCTGGTTTAGCTATGTCTTTCTTATTTATATGCTACATTTTGCATCAAGACCCAGAAGACACTAAACATGCATTAATTCTCTTGTCATCACGCATATTTATAGCAAGGTGCTTTTGCACAGCAGCAGCATCCTCTCTGGAAGTGAAGCCACTGCTGAGATGATGATATATTACTACATACACTTTCAAAGCAATAAACCAGTTCTTACTGATCTCTTTGAATTTAAGCACAGTTTTAACTCTTAAGCTTTCACTCTTTTTCATACTATAAATATATAAGTATTTATAAAGCTTGGAATTTACTAATTTCATTAGTTACATAAGACTCCAAAAGAGTCACATTTCAATGAGCTTAATTTTATCGGATCCAAATAACAACAAATAAGGTCAGGACTATATGTACAAACAAAATTCCCTGGACTCCACTTGAACTAGTAAAAAAGATATAATAGAGGGTGATTTCTGGTAGAAGCCCCATTAACATTTTCCACCATATTTGTTCTATTGCCCCATGTATATTGATAAAAAACAGTCCATACAGATGAAATGCAGTGATCCCATTCTCACATCTATTTTGTATTTACCTGTAAAGGAGGTTATGAAATATTTTAGTCCGAATTTTAAAAAAGCAATCAACAAATTCTGCAATAATAAAAACAATACAATCTAGGTACTGTTAAGTGTCCTGATGCTAACTAGCTGAATATAAGCCATATCAGAAAAGTTTAGCTTACCTTTCTGGCTTGGTCATTATCTTCTATTTGCCCCAGATCTCTACCACTGGCCTGTGCAATTCTTTTTCCAGACACCAAGTTCCCCACCATCACAGAGGCAGGGCCAATTTCTAGAATACATCAGAAATGTGCTAATAAAAATCTGCTGCTTGTTGAGGAAAATTAATTTTATTTTTACCACTTTTGCATTACATGATATTTTTCTCATTCCTATCCACAACACCAAACCTTGAGCACATCTCTGCTGATACAAATTTTGGTTGATGGACCAGAAGTAGCTGGAAGATACGTAGGCCTGGATTCATCCTCTCTAAACATATCTAACTGAGGAACCCACTTAGTGTGGGCTCTCTACATCCAGAGACACATTTTGTCTGCCTTGATATGAGGAGTTTGGAAAATTCAGCTCCTAATTTAGGCATGTCCGTTCGAGTGCCTAAAACCAGATGAGATGTATCCAGGCTTCAGGGTCAATGTTCCCATTTCTCTCTTCTGTTCCTTGGGCTAAGCTGCATCTGTACAACTCCGTAATGCTATGGACATGAAGTGACAAGGATTAGGAAAGCAGATTGGGTATATGATAAAATACATGCAAGCCTTTTAGCACAAGGAAGAGACTGATGAAAAATAATAACTCTAGAAGAAAGGAAGATATTGTAGTCGACACTTCTCCATGAGGTGGATTTTACTGATGTTTCGTTGCTGCCATTAAGGAAAGATACCTGTGTCTCAGGTTTATGCTCATGTTATCCTTTGTTTTCTGCTTCTCCAGCATGGATTACTGATCAACTGATACCAGGCTTTACTTCTAGTCTATGATGTCGAAGTATCGTCTCTGTGACAGTATGTGGTGTGTCAAAACATGAGATGTCTAAGTAACCAGATAATGTACAATAAACAACATCTGCAGACTAATCTGCTTTGAAAAGACGAAAGCAATATCCTCTGGGTATGTCACAGCTATGGAAAATGGGAGAATGTGATGCTATCAGTTTGGTTTCTGCATTCCTGGCACTGCTTTTACTATAGTGACATATGATGTATATGTAATGTACATAATGTATATAGGTATCTCCACTGCACTGATCCTAATTCAGTGATCACTTTGCAAAGCAGCAGCAAGGAAATACCAAACTGAGCACTGCAATTAAAGGCTTCATTGCTTTTATTAAGTGGAAGTCAGTGTTAACCTCTGACATTCCCAGTATCTGCAAACTGAGATAATAGTTTTGATTTCTGAAACATTTGTCCAAGGGTTTTAAATAAAGAAACAAGATGATGCTTTTGGCAAACTTGCACTGAATTCATGATAGATAGTCCCCATATTTAAGATCTAGTGGGTTAAAACACTTCATATTCCAAGCTGGTTTTCAAAGTGGAAAGAAACCAACACTTAGTCTAACATAGTGTAACATAGCTGAGGTCTTAAGGTTGAGGCTACAGATCCAGAAATCCTTGAAATTAATCTGAGTACTAAAATCCACAAATGGATTCAAAGTAAAAAATTTGCTAAAAATGTTCTCATTCATTGCACTACAGCAGGCTACAAGGGCTTTCTCAGTCTCTTGAGTCAGTGCCTTGCTGTACCATTTCAACCAATATTTTTTATGAAGTGTGGCAGAATTTCTGAAGAACCATCTTAAATCTAGTTAGGGTTCTCCCTCAAATATACCTGGCTCTAAGAATAATCCAGAACCTTCCTACTCAGATAAAAGCCTTTATCCTCATACTTGGGTTTAATTTATTAATGTCCAGTTTTTAAGTATTTGCTCTTCTTTCAGCACTGTTATTTAGGGTCAAAAGTCCTCTTCCTCTCTATATCTATTTTACAAACTCAGCCTTCAAATAAGCCAAGATTTTATCTTTCTCTGTTTCAGTCTCAGTCCACCCTCTTTAAACATGACTGATCAGGAGCTTAGAAAGAACTCCAAGTATGGTCTCAGCAGTGCCCTTTAGAGTGATAAAAACGTCTTCATCTTTAACGAACTTATGGTTCTGGATCATTTTTCCTTGCACTCTTTGTGAAGGTACTTCTTAGCATCCACCAAAACAAACAGCGCCCTTAAAACACCTGGAATGTTTAACAGGAACAGCTGATTGAATTGATTCTCACCTGCGTTAACAGTTACTTGATTCTGCTCCACACTGTACCAAGAACACAGAGCATTAAGCCACAGTCCCTTTGCCTTCACTTGTCTTACCTGGTTGCTTTTGCCTTGGTTTAGGCAGGTTTGTTACGCATGTGTGGGGACACATCAGCACATTACAAGGATGCAACGATCCTTCCAAGAAGAGCTGTTTGGTTTCTGACAGGTGTATTCCTCCCAGCGGCGTCTTGGGAAGCGTGTTTGCTGGTACAAGCGCTAAGCAGTAGACTCCCACTTGATGAATACTGTCAATAGCCTAAAAAAAGCAGGAAGTTGATTTTAATGAAAGGCTAATTTTTCATCATTCTAATAAGCACATGTTGTTCTGAATTACTGCATAAAACAACCCTAATAATTAACTGGCAATGGAAAGACACTTCAGCAATGTCAGTGATAAGGAGGTTCTTTTCAGTGGGAACAGGTGGATGGAAATGTAATGCTGACGTTATTACACTCGTTCCAGAAGATAAAAAGGCAACAAAAACCTGGTGATAAATACAGAGAAATCTATTAAGAAATGCTACCCAGGCATCCCTCTTAGGCACATGTTAGTAGCAAGTATACTGGAGATTTATTACTAAGGTTGGCTGGCAACCCATGTGAAACTGATTTTAAACTACACGCTTCTCAGAATTGAAGTTCAAAGGATTCCTATCAACTTAACAACCAGTCCATCTTGCAGAGCAAAGAAAAATTTCAAAGGTTGCACGTATATCACCATATAACTGCTGACGTATGTAGTAGCTTATGAATTCTTAATTTTTTTCTAAGATAATAACTGTTTCGCTCCATGACTGCTGTGTAAAATATTGTCAGGCAAGAATGGGACATGACAACAATATAAGGGAAAACCAGGAAACTATCCACTTGAAAAAAAATATGTTGAATGAAAACCTGAAAAATAAACATCTTTGAATCTTATAGTAAACATGTTCATTGTCTGACAAGTGGAGTGGACTGCATCGCTTTCAAGAAGTCTATAATGTACAGTATCTATGTAATTATTTAGGTAAACATGAATATCCATCCAACTCAGAATTTAATTCCCTACA